TGTGAGAGGGTCAGAATTTAATTATATATTGTATCAAAATGATGAAGAGTTATTATTATACAATATTTGAATTAAATGTTTCATATGTAGCTGAGATAAATGGTAGTTTAATGAGTATTTTTCGGTTAATGTATTGATATGTATGTAATGTATCATAATCTTCACACAACTTATGATTAAATAAGGTGTTTTATTTTTAAATTTAAGAATATAATCGACGTCACACATCAAAATTTTCTAATTTCAAGTTAAGATGGTCATGATTTTTCCAGAAATCATAACTTTTTACTCGTAATGAGTTACGCGACCTATAATATATCCAATCGTATGTATTTCAGAGCTCTACATTCTTGAACTTTCAGCGGGGTCGGCTGACCCCCCTGACCCCCCTTGGCTCCGCCCCTGCGTGGCAGTGTTTCATTGACTACAAAAGTATATATATGTTGTTTCTACAAAGTGTAATCACACAATTTCAAGGGCCCTTGAACCATAACTGAACAGAACATATGAGAAATTGTTAATTACAGTAACTCAATCAACTATAGTGATAGTAGACCTTTACTCGTGCACGACACATAGGGGTTCTGACCTCTACACGACTACTGCAGGTTTTGATCCTTGACCATCAAACTCTTTCACCGATTTACTAGTTGAATTACCGGTGCAGATAACAATTTTATTCATGACATGACCAAAAGTACAATTTTTAAAAGGGAAAGCATTTGCTCGTTTGATAGAAAACACTGAAAATTTCTTGTGCTGACTGGTTTAGTGCATGCGTGGGTGGATTAAATATACCAAAATGTATGATAAATCAAACAAATCCATCTTACCGCGAATGCACACTACATATGCATGTATAGTCCTGGAGGCTGAAGGCATTGATTCAGAGGCCGTTTGGCAACATTGTTTTTCGGTTTATCAGACTTATCAGCCAACTTTTTCACCAAACACGTAATTTTTGCTTTCGCGCGCTGAATTGTGTAATAAGCAGAAAAAGTAAGGTTGATGTTACTTTTCTGGCTCTTTTGGCTGAAGTTACTGTAGATGATCATTTTCGCTATTTTTATATATAATTTTTTCTTTATTTTATTAATAAAATATATTTTAATAATAATTTTTTCTTACATCACCAGAATCAGCTAGTGCAGCTACTCCAGCCAAAGCTTCATAAATATCAGCAGAATCAGCCAAATCAGTCGATTTTCGTGCTACCAATCGAGCTCTCAAATTTTGCCGGCTGTTTTCTTTTAAGTATAAGAGAAGGCCACAACATCCATTGGCCCCCGACATTCGTGAAGCAATGAATACCTCTTGAATATAAGCCAAGTACCTTGTGGTCTGATGGCATCACTGTGACACTCCCAAGGAGGAGGTCACAGGTTCGAATCTCATCCCAGTTCAAGGATGTTGACCTTAACATTGAGCAGATACTACATAGGTTAGAAAGAATTGTTCAAAAAAAAACATTTTGAATATAACATTTTTAAGGCAAAAATAGAAAATGTTTCTAATTAAGGTCCATAATTTTGAGGAATGGCGTTGACATTTGTGAAACTATCAATACCGATTGAGGAAAATATGTTCGTATATCATCGAAAAAACATTATTTGTAGGGAAACTGGAAACTAATAATCTAACCTTTTAGCGGTCTTTTTTCAATAATCCCACCTTTTGATTATTCATAAATAATCCAACCTCTGCACCTCATCTTCATTCACTGGTCCCTGACCGGTTGATGGCCTGCTATTCCAAGCTATTTTCTTATCTTTGCAAATCATTATACCATAAATCTCATCTTTCACAAAGATAATATTTTGGAAAGATAAGAAAATAACTTGGAATAGTAGCTCATTAACCGACCAGGGACCAATGAATGAAGATGAGATGCAAAGGTTGGATTATTCATGAATAATCAAAAGGTGGGATTATTGAAAGAAGACCGCTAAAAGGTTGGATTATTAGTTTCCATTTTCCCATATTTGTATGGTCTATGGAAGTCGTTCTCTACAAATGCAAAAAGAAGGCAAAATTTATTGATACCTTGATTAATTATGTGTATCAATTACGACATTACCATTGAATAATTTAAACATTAATAAATAATGAAATAATTAGTTACACCAATGAAATGGCATGTCAGCTACGGTACCCTCACATTTTTGTGAGTACCACAACACTCCGCCAATATTAAAACAACGATGCTTCATGTACCCACCCTTATACCCACCATATTTGTGAAAGTTTTTTTTGTCTGTGAACACGATTTACAGACAATATTTTGTTTGTGCAAAATATTGTCTGTGAACCGGGGTTCACAGACAATAAAAAAAAGCTTCACAAACATAGGTGTATACAAAGGTGGGTATAATAGTGGGTACAAAGATCATTTTTGATATTAAAAGTAGCGTAATTACAATAACGCTAGACTAGATTTCGATAGTTGCAAAATACACATAGAATAAACATGTGTCAGACCAAATCAAACTAAAATCAATACTCCCTCTGTCCCTAAATTTACTTCCATTTCGTTTTTCGAGAGTCAACTTAAATCACTCTTAAACTCTTACTTTTTGTATCAAAACTTCATGAAAATTGATTTTTTTTGCAGGCTTTGTAGCGGGTTTAATGTAGTTTCTGAATATGTAAATTTTATTTATTAAAAATAATCCGAGTTTTCACAGGGATCATTTAACTTTATCGTCGGTCAACCTTCGTAATCCGCAATTGGAACAACATTCAGGGACGGAGGGAGTACATTAGACTAGACCAGATCAAACGAGATCAGAAAATCACCATCCAATTAAACACATTTTAAGTCTCCTTTCAATAATCTGGCACAAATATTGGACAATCCGTCCAAAGCAATTTGTTTTGAACTACAGAGTATACTTTAACAGAAGAGTATCAGGAAAACAGAGCCCACAAGATAAAAATGAGTCTGCATTTAATGGCTATATCTCATAGTATAGTTTGGATAAAAATGACTTTCGACATAATTTAGTTCTCAACAATATTAACTGAGTGCAAGAGCCAACGAACTCCAAGCTTTCTTACGTTCTAACCATCCGTTCAATACTTCTGAAGGCAGTTGAGGAACCACTATAGTAAAAGGATGAGTTCGGTTTAAACGGTTCGGTTTTCAACTAAAACCAAATGCCGAACCAAAGTTAAAAATTTCGGTTCAGTTCGATTCGGTTTATGTTCAAAAAAATTAGAACCACGGTTTGTTCGGTTCAGTTTCGGTTTTTCGGTTTCTACTAAAGTATTTTAGTTGATTAGAAAAATAGTAATTGGAAAACAAAAACAAAAAAATAAATACATCAAACTATTATTAATAGTTATACAATACATAAACATACATAATTAAAAAAGAGAAGAAACAAATGCACTTCCAAGCAATGAATTAGAGAGTACATGTATACCAATTTAAACATTTTCTAAATTAATTAAACACATGAGTTTATTTGTGAATTATATACGGTGTATTCGCAAGTTAACATTTTATTAGTAAATAACTTAATCTACATTCTTTTTAGGGAAATGTATTTATGCTCTAAAGTTTCACATTTTCTATATAAACTATACATTCTATTTAAAGTGCAGTTTATATTAATACATATTTGTTCAATATAAAAAATTATGTGATAACAAACATACATAACATATAATAAATCAACAAAGTATCATTGTCATGCAACAAACAAATTTAAATTACGATTTAAAATATCAACATATTAGTATTATAACAATAGACTTAAGTATATGTACAAGTGTGTCACTTAATTGAGCCATATATATTAAATGTCAATATCTTGCAAATCATAATAAATCTAGTATCAAACATTATTTTTTAGAATTAAGAATTAATAACTAAACAAAATATTATACTTAATGATTAGTAAATAAAATAACAACTTTTAAAAAGTTCGGTTTATTCGGTTCGATTTTGAGATGTGCAAACCAAAACCGAAACCAAACAACTACGGTTCGGTGTTTTGAGTTCAGTTTCGATTTTCTTGCGGTTCAATTGTTTTAATTGCGACCCACCCGCCTACTTCAGTTCAAGAGTGGTAAAAAAATCACACTTTTGTTAAGAAAACTATGAATAATTTTTATCAACTTGATCATATGTTGAATCTATCACTTACAAAAAAATCATTATCGCCCTAATTATAATGTAGGAGAAGGTTAATCAAATGAGAAAATAGATGTCACATTTTTATATGAGTTATCTTATTTTTCCTCCCAATCATCTTTTGAGTAGAGTGATACTGACAATGTGGCTTTGGTGGCATATGAACCTACTACATTTGTTTTTAACGGAGAAAAAGCGGGGATTTCAATAAAAAAACTATATTTGAAAAATAAAACTGATCAAACTAATAGTTTGGAACTAATTTAAGTATTATCTCAATTGTATTAATGAAAAATGCTTTGTGCATACGTTTTGGTGTACACGTTTTGTACATTCGTCTGCTCACATATATAGAATTGACTATCCACAGACAATTTTGTAGAATTATTTGTGAACAAATAATTTTTTATACGTGAGACAGATGATTGTATAAAAAGTGTAGATAAAAGTGTGTAGCATTAGTGACTCCACATTCTATGAATTTTTATCATCAAATATTTAGAAAATATACGTAGTAGAAGATTGTTACAAACGTTTTTTCTCATATGTACAAATACATATCGAACTGGCCCATTGTTTAAAATTTGTGTGATGGCAAATTAAATTTACACACAGTTATCTAATAAGAAATTTAATTCATAAATTGATTTCATTACTACTCTAGTAACTAATAGTAAGTCATTTTTATTTTGGTACGTAATTATTTAATTAAATAATTTTACGATCATACATATCTTCATTCTAGAATCAAGATGGTTTGACGATAAAAAAAAAAGAATCAAGATGGTTCGGAATCAGGACCGGCCCTATGGGCTAAGGAAAGGATGTACGTAACAGTAACCGTTTTTTTGATGTAAGAGAACTGAATACACAACGAAAATACAGAAATAAATTTCAAAGTTTTCTTTGTGATTTCATCCCTCCCAAACTCAACTTCATCTTCGTCTATAAATTCCTCCAACTAAGCACAAATCAGTCAACTCAAGAAAAAGAAGACGGAATAACCGCCAGCTATGGTAGTAGAGGAGTCGCTTCGCATTCAAACATTCAACCAAGTTCCATCTGCGGAAGAATTCGCCTTCCATATTGAACCGAAGAATGTTCCAGCTGTAGGTTTCATTCCGAGAACTGAATAAGTTAAGAATGAACTTGCAATTGCGATTGCGCATATAACATTTCTTTAATTCTTGGGAAACAGGTCTTTGAAGGATGTATCAGGAATTGGGAGGCTTTCTTCAAATGGAATCCCTACAATGGCGGCCTCGCGTATTTGCAGGTTTCTATAATTGTACCTTTTCGGTGTTTTTACTCCGTCATTTCATCACTTGAAGCAATTAATTATCTGTTTAGAAATTAGAAATTAGAACTCGAAGCAGGTTTCTAAAATTGAGGATTATTATCGGCACCTTCCAGGTTTGGTGTTTAAACTAAAGTTAATGAAAGAAATACTTAACCAAGCGTGAAACCTGTGGTTGTCAAGATCTCCTGGCATATTTAATTTCATTTCAAGTTCTTTCTGGATTTTTTTCTTAATCAAGATGTAACTCTGGTAAGACGCACAAATAATTATGTGAAAAACTGAAAATATATTGTCTCTATCAGTGAAAATAACTTGAAAATGTATGTGATTTTAAGTTGTCATTTCATTGAAATCAGCAACATGTGGGATCATCTGTTGTGCAAGTGATGATGTCCAGATCTCCACCGGTCTTTTATGGTGACATTAGAAGTCATGAAAGGGTAACTATTATTACCTCGGATTATATTTTAAATTTCATATCAAATTTCTCCTGGTATATTAGTCAGCTGAAACTCTGTCATTGCTTTCTAAGGTTCCAATACCATACTCAACTTTCATTGCATATTGCATGGATCATTTGGAAAATATAGAGGATGGCAAAGATAATCCTTGTCAATCTGAAGAGAATAGGCTGAAATTATCTGACATTGATCAAACTGATAGCTGTGCAAATGAGGTTCAGCAATATTATCTAGCTCAGGTGGAGTGAACTCATTTGTTTAACTCATACAGTCATATGGAACATGTATTCTTCAAATATATGATAATTGTCATTTTGAGTCAGGTGCCAATACTAAATGTTGAGAATGACGATGCCGCACAATTGAAGTGTTTGAGTGAAGATATTCATACGGTGTGGGGGCCTCTTCTCTGCATCTTGACTGTGTTGCTTACGTTTTTCTTTTGAATGTCTCCTAAGAAATGATAACTTTCTGCGCAGCCTGAGTTCTTGCAGACAAAAAGCATGTTTTCCATTAATTTGTGGATGAATAGTGCTAAGACCAGATCAAGCACTCACTATGATATCTACAACAATCTCTTATGCGTAGTGTCTGGATGTAAACAAGGTTAGCCTCATCATATTTATTAGTTTGTTAAAGACAGTTTGTAATCAACTTCAGTTTATGAATTGCATTTCCACTTTATGCAACTTGGCTATATGCTGGGTTTTCATTGGATGGCCTCAGTTTGGGGCTGATGTGATCATTAGACTTGTATAATGTAAAGTTTTCAAGGAAAGGAAAATTGATACTTCTAGTCATTACTCAACACTATCTAGAATTTTTTTATATGCTATCCCGAGTGAAACTTATCGCTTGCTTGCCCCTTGATAGCCATCCAATTTAATAGTATCAGTTGCTTTATGTGGTCAGCTTCTTGTCATATATACACCATATAATTTTTGGTATGCTATTTTAAGAGAAATGCCTCACTAGCATGGGCATGATTCTCATTTAAATATTATTATTAATATTATCAGTTTCTTTATGGCCACCTTCCGCAAGCCCCTTCTTATATCCACTTCCTTTATATGGGGAAGCATCAAATCACAGGTACTTCACCTCAACACATATTTTGTAAATCATGATCCCATCATTGTTTATTTTGCCTGTTAAAAGGAAAATCGCTGTTTTTGGTTCCCCCAATTATTCCTTATTCTACAATGTAGTGTCTTATAACAAGTCTCCGTGACCTAGTCCCTTAATTATTGATTAAGTAGTCAATCAAGTCCCTCACGCACCAGTAATGAAGTCATGATTTTTTTTTTTTGCATTTCTGTATCAGCATGGACATCCTTTTCTATTATCTTCTCGACAATGATATTGGGGTTAGGATGTCAGAGACTTAGTTAACCACCTTTTAAAAACTGAAAAACTGAACACACCAAATTGATCATTAGAGGCTAGATTGCATAGCCAGGAAGAGTTGGGGCCCAAAAAGCGATTTCTCCTATTAAATATTGATGATATATGGACTTATAAGTATGGTCACTAATCTTATTTTAATTCTTTTCCAGTGCTATAATGTTAGGAAGCCCAGATCTCTCACTTTACCCAAGGGCAAAATATTTGGAGGAGCATTCCCAGATAGTTGTTCTTCAAGCTGGTGATGCACTTTTCATCCCTGAAGGATGGTAATTTAATCGTTGACAGTTACTTATCTTATTGATTTATATTCACTCGTCACTCTGAAGATCTTCACCTTTGTCTCCATTAGTTCTATGCTGGCCTGCCCCTAAACGTATGAAAACACTGATTAATTGGCATGCTTTCAAATTGTTTTTAATATATTTTCAAATTGTTTATTATTGTTGTTGTTGTTGACTTGTTGTTATCATAGTTATGATTATTGTTATTGTTATAGTTATGATTATAGTTATTATTAATAATGTTGTTGTTGTTGTTGTTATTATTGTTGTTGTTGTTGTTGTTGTTGTTGTTGTTGTTGTTATTATTATTATTCTTATTATTATTATTACATATGTACTACGGAAATGTTTCTTCTTCCGAGCCCATATATGCTATGCATCTAAAATTTAATGTCAAAATTAAACTTTTATAGTATCATAGTGCCTGCATTGATGTTCTGGCGGTTGTTTAGATGTGATTTTCATGTATATAAATTAATCTTTGCTGACTTTCTAGCATTTTTCATATATCAAGTAATTGGTTAGGTGGGATACGGATTTCACCTTAATAATAAAGTTTTACAGCTGTAATGAGTTTAGTGCTTGTGTGTGTGGATTTTGCATAATGGTCAATATCATGCATTATTATTTCCGTTGATTTATCTTTAGCCTCTTTCAGCCTGGAAGCATTGCAGTTGCAATGAATTAATTTACATCACTATTATTCTTCATTAACCTAGGTATCACCAAGTAGACAGTGAAGATTTAACAATTGGTGTTAACTTTTGGTGGCAATCGGGAATAATGTCTAGTGTGTTGGAGCATATGGATGCATATTATTTGCGAAGAATATTGAAAAGGTATAAAGATGCTTTCTTTTCTTTTGCACTTTTCTTCCCTGGGTTCCTTCTCATGTACATCAAGAATAACACACTGATCATTTATCCTTGATGTCTCTCTGCTCTGCTGCATAAACGTGAAGATTGACTGACAAAGAATTGGTGAGTTGCTTAAATCATAATCTACCACTGTGAAGGATTTTATCTTACTATCGTAGTTAAGCATATGGGTCCATGCAGCAGTCAGTCCATGCAATTTTGGACGTGATTTTCACTATGGGTCATCCGGAAACAGTCTCTCTGTGCTTTAGTACAGGGGTAAGACTGCGTACATCCGACCCCCCCTTACCCCACCATAGGTGGGAGCCTTTGCGGCACTGGGGTAAATGAAAATGAAAATGAATTGATCGTAGTTAATCTGTTGAATCTAGTTTGTTTATTTAATTTTTTAAGGTCCTGTAATCCCAGTAAACACAAGGATAGCTTAGAAAAGAACTGTTGTGTGAGACTGTGAGATATCAATGTTAATGAGCTGAGTTTCATTTTATTATTTTTTTTAATCACGCAGGACCAAAGAGTGCAACATTCTCTAGCTGGGAATGAATTTGCAGCCACTACGAGTGACCTGCCTTCTAATGCACATAGAGGTAAACACATTTTAATTTCTAGATCCATATTGCTGTTTCAAAATCATTTATTGTTTATAATATAAAGAGGAGAATATTTTACGGTATCTGCAGTACTCATTGATGCTAACACTACATGCTATTTTTGCTAGATGATACCGATCCTGCTGGACTAGAGCAAAAGAATATGTTGCACAATTTGGGGTCCCTTGAACTCCAGTCTCTGCGTCGACTTGTTTCTTTAGTCCATGACCATGTCAACCAAAGCCAACCTGTGGGGTGCAGTTCTAATGACACTCAAGGAATTGAAAGCAATGATCAAGTGGCTATCAGAAAGGAGGACTCAAGTTACTGTCTAGAAGATCAAGTTGCTAATCTTATTTGGTCTCTTGATCCAATTACTCTTAGGAATGTTTTTTATGCAATGGCTGTGAGTTTGTTCTTTCTTTTCACTTCTATTAGCGCTCGAAGTATTCTTATGCATTCTTGGTCATGCAGTTTGTCTTATAGGCGGGTCTTCTTTTTTCATTTCATTGTTATTTGGGTGTATGGTCTACAGACCGTTGTACCAAATTGAAGTCTTGATAGGTTCTAAATTTCAGTTTCCACAAGCAGAAACTCTTTATTTATTTGATTTTTGAAGTGTTTTTCTGGGGGGTGGGGGTAATTGATGGATGCAAAGATACCTCCTGTTTAAAAGAGGCTATTTGCCGAACTGAACTGAATTGAGACCTCTAAAGAACTCCCATCCACTTGATTTCCTGAATATCATGTATTGTTATAGAAGCGTTTTTTTCCTTTTTGAAAATAACCATGTTGATAAAAGTTTCTAAATGCTTGAATTGAGATTATTTGAGTCTCATTTCATTATGCTTGTTATCGCTTCAGCAGCTTGAAGGCAGAGTACAAATACATTATTCTGTTTTTTGTTTTGCATTGTTGTATCATCTTCCTTAATAGTCGAGAATAACTTGATCGTATTGATTTCACTTGCATTTAGTATGGAACTCATGGGTCTAAGAGAGGCTATCATGTTCTATCCTATATGTGTTGTTTAACCTTTTCCCTTCACTTGCCTACAACTGAATAAAAACAATAATTCAATGCTTTTCCAGCATAATTTCCCAAGGACTCTGGAGGCCTTAGTATTGCATGCATTGTCACCAATTGGAGCAGAAATACTAACTCGTAAGTTTGAAGAGGTGGACCACCTCATGACTGTTGACAGCAGGTACCTATATCTCAGTTTTTCCTTTGGAAGTAATATCTTTATTTGTTTGTATTGTCTAACATAAGTTTGGTGCTCTTAGGGACCATTTCTACCAGATTGTCTATGGTGTGTTTGAAGATCGGTTTGCTGCGATGGACAAACTTTTAAATAGGAAAGAGTCATTTGCCTGTCAGGTACTTATTTTTGGGGCCATTTAGCTTTCATATTAGCATATAAAGTTGCATTTTTGGTTCTGTATTTATCTGCTTACATCCCTCGGTGCAACTGTAACAGAAGTTGGTTATTTAATTTTAAATGTCTGCTCGATATCTGGCCACGTCCATTTTATATTGCTACTTTAGGAACATTTAACTTGTATTGGCGAACAATTAAATCACACTTAGTGACTCATGCTTTTACTTTCATCTCCTTGTCTGGTTACGTGTCGGTACAAAGCAAGTTTATGCCTTTTTGCGACCGGATAGCAGCAATATAATACTCAATAGTCCGCCTTCCTCCTATAATGTTCTTCTCATTTTCATTTTCTGACTGTTTCATGAAGTTCTCTCATAACCTTGTAAGGAAGAATTTGTGACAGATATTGTGCCTTAGAACACTTTAAAATTAACAATATTAATTTCAATATTGTGTGACCTATCCTGCCTCATTTGATCTATACAATTGCAGTGTACATAGTGTTTTTTATACAAAACCAGCTTGGCTCGAGATCAACTCAGTTTGGCTCGCTAAGGACTCAAGCTCAACTCATTTATATGGGAAAAAAGTGAGCTTGGGCTCGGATTTGTTGTCAATCCATATGCCAGCTTGCTTACAAACCAGACTTGGTCTTGTAATTGGGGCATGATTTCACTCCCATGGATATTATGTCTATAAACTTAATGCTACTTTCTTTATTTCTCACAACAGGCATTCAAAGATGTGCTTGACCAGTATTTGGGAGTTAATTTCAATGATGGACCTCAACGGCAAGTCTGATAAACATCCACTGCTGCCAGTTTTCCATATATGAAGTAAAACCTGGCGCCACATTCAGATTGATACTTCAAATCAAATTGGATTCACTGATGAAACTATCTTTTCTTTGTGGCTAAAGGGTCAAATAGGTCCTTGAACTCACTTAAAGTGTTCAATTAGTCCCTTATATAGGAGGTTCCGCCCGGCCGTCACTAATTGGGCCGGTTCCCGGTGAAATTTTTTGATAAATTTTTTGAGCATCTTCTTCATTAAGTCTAGTTTACTCATACCAAATTTCAGCTAAAAATTCAACCGGGAAGACAGTCAAATGATTTTCCAAAATGTACAACGCTGTTTAACTTCGCAGTTATCTTCAAAAAATCATTTGACTGCCTTCCATGTTGAATTTTTAGCTGAAATTTGGTATGAGTAAACTAGACTTAATGAAGAACATGCTCAAACAATTTCAATAAAAAATTCCACCGGGAACCGTCCCAATTGGCGACGGCCAGGCAGAACTTCCTATATAAGGGGCTAATTGAACAATTTAAGTCAGTTCAAGGGCCTATTTGACCCTTTAGCCTTTCTTAGTCGGTACTTGAACATGTGGTTTTCTCACTGTATATAGGTCCACACTCAACTACTCTGGTACTTTGAGATTGTTAGATTGTATAGGATTTATACAAATTTGTGGCTTTGCAAGTAAGCTACTCTTATATGATCATTTTGGGATATGTTTCTCTTCACTCTTCAAGCGTGTCATCCGTGTAGTAACAATTGTTTTGCATGATATTGAAGCTCCTTCCCCTCTCCTTCCCCTTTGAAAATGTGCAGGGTCCATAATGTTTATTATTTAGTTGTTTTATAATTTTATTTCCGAAAAAGGTCTGTACGAAAGTAAAGACATGTTGTAAAAACCGGACAAGCAATTGATGACCCGACCAAGTGACTGGGCCTTGAGTCAACCCGGACCTGGCAGGTCAACAATACACTTGTGAAACTACAAAGTAAACCTTCAATCAAGATTAAAAATTAAATTAATACAGCCTTGAGATTGAATTGGTATTTACGAAGTAGATTTAGGAACTAGGAATTTAAACAAATTCCTAGCTTGTGCATGTTAAGTAGGCACACAGATCAGAATGTTAAATACATACATATATAAAAACTAAGTTATATATATATAAATGATATACTACTATATATGATGATTTGATAATTAATTGTCCAATGTGTGGGCCCACGTGGAAATGTGCATGGATCAATTCAACAGCTTCCCCATGTTTCGGAGGTTGTATCAGCAGGGGCAAAACCAAAGCCTAATGCATGGCTGTCACGCTCATTGTTATTGGCGTTATACATTATGCTACTGCTGCTGCTCGCGAACAGCTCGTCTTCTCCATACGATAGCAGACGGTGATCGTGGTCCTCTCTCCCGACATTATCGTTGCTGGTCAACCCCAGAAAGTCTCTAGTCAAAGGGTTCCCTTTCTGCCACGTGTCGAACCCCAGGTAGTCTTCTTGGGCCATCCTCTCCATCATGTTCACATCTGGCCCCACACTGCCCAGCTGGGTCATGTTGCAGTTCAAGTGATCCACTGTAGTGGGCCCCACGCTCGCTGCCTTCTGTAGAAGCGCCGTGGCTGAGAGGAACGAGGACGGCGCCATCGGAAGGGCTGCCGGTTCTTGAAAGTACGGCAAGGCTGCTCCCGGAACACAGCCGCTGCTGAGTCTCTCTGATTTGATCATAGTAGAGAGGTGGTGGGGTGGTTGTGGGTCCCATGGGATACCGCCGCCTATGCTCATCAAGAAGCCTGTTGATGATGATGCCGGCGGCGGCGGTGGTGATGCAGGTGGGTTTGGGAAGTGTCGCTGCTGCGGAGTGGAGAAGAGAGGGTTGAGGTGGAAGCTGGGTTGGATTTGTTGGGGAGGATTGTTAGTATGATTGTTGTGGGTTGGACGGTGCATGAGCAGTATTGACTTTGCAGAAAATCTGGCACTCTCTTCAGCTAAAGCATCACAGAATGCTCTGTGTGTTATAAAGCTATCCTTCCTGCATTCATGACTGATTGATTAACCCACATTTTAATCCATTTTTAACAATAAAAAAGGATGACACCCCAACAACATCAGCTCGTGCCACTTAATTAAATCAGAAACAGGTAAATTGAATTTTAATTGCAGACTGCTAAAAGATAGGAGTGAGACTCTTACTTCACTTAAAATGATGAGTGATTGGATGACCTGTGTGGGTATGGGTAGCTCACTTTAAGCATGGATAAAAAAACATTCAATTTCTATTCAATAAAATGAACCAAATTCAGCACGCACACCAATTCACCAATGGCACTAAACTGCCGTAAAAAAGTGAAATGAAAAACTATATACTTCAAGTCTCGAATAACATATGGAGTGAGAATATGTCATGTTTTAATTAGATTGATTTAAGTTTCTGAATGAAAAGAGCAGGTACTATAATAAAAGTCTTAGCGCATCTAAAAAAGCCCCTAAATCAAATTAAATTTAAATAGATTACATCAAGTTGAATTGGACTTAAAAAAATAGTAGTACGTAGTAATTAAAATAGTAATTAAATATGCACACAACATATTTTTAGCATAACATATCATAACTATTCAGACCAGTCCACACCTGAATATAAAAAATCAAATCAGATTAGAAGATTTAATCCAATTAATAAACACGTGTAATTATATTTTTCTTTTTAATACACCACGGAATCTTAAAGTGGAAGGTCGGCCAGAAAACAAGATATCCCGTGTCTAAGAAGTACGTTCACGAAATGTGGTTTCTCACTTTAGTCACGTGGACAAAATCACCATATAAAATACTCCGTAGATAGATTCTAATATTATAATATGTTATCAAAAGGTACCATACATTTGTCTACATGAATTAATAGAAATATTACAATTGAATTATTTAAATCTAAAATAAAAACGATATAATAATTTGGACCAATCAAATAAATGATAGGTACACTACACCATTTTTTAAATAGGTACCAGAATTCTCACCGATAAAATAAAATAAAATAAAATAAAATAAAATAAAATAAAATCAGAAGCTATTTACGTGAACCGACCTAAAACCGGGGGCCACAGGGAGGTCCACAAATTTGGACCACTTATTCTCAATTTACTTGTTCTCGCGAGGGCTTGTTTGGTGGGCACAAATTGCCACTATGTAAATTGACTACTTCGCATTTTAAGTAAAATTAAACTATTACAAATGTTGGTTGAGTACTTAGGTTTCAAATTATGAAATTAAACTCCTTCAGGTCTGGTGGAATTTCATTTCTTGATCTCCTAAAGTTTCTTCATTCACCCATCTGGACTTGGGAACAAAAATAGGATTATTTTGAATTGGACAAAATTCACATAATTTATCAAAAATCAGCTTGTTTACTTTTTAGCAAAAAATGTGGGAAAATACTTTTAGTTTAGCAATAAAAAGACAAAGTAATCAGAAAATTAAGATTAATTTAGAAGTATTCATATTTATTACGTTGTATATAACACAAAATGAAAAGTGAAACTTAGATAAACTAAAATATAGGGTACCGTCCCTATCAGATTGGACCACGTCACTTTATCATTTTTAATTTACATTTAAATAATTTAACTGCTACATTCTCATTGGTCCATGTGGACAAAGGTATGGTACCTTATGGGTACCAAAGAATCTACCTAAAATAATTGACAAAATTTAATGAGGCTAAGTCGTAGCAAACTTACCATATAATGAGCTTGTTTGATCCCTTATATCTAGCTTATCAAAACTATCAATTAATGTTTTTATGAAATACGTAACTTTTAATTTGGGTTGTGCGTCAATTAAAATGATCAGTAAGTTGGATTTAGTTTTTTTGTTGAGTTTTGGTGAAGTTATTGGATCATCAAATTTTCCATTTTATACAATATTTTCTTTATCTTATACTCCATCTGTATCTATTTAATTGTCACACTTTTCTTTTTTGATGTATCAAATTAATTGTCTCCTTTCCTTTTTTGAAAAGAACTCCACTCAAAAAGCGGCTATAGTACCACTACAGTACCAAAAACCTCTTATTTTTTATAAAGTTTACAGTAATTGTCATAAACAAATGAGCCAACTAATTAGATACAGAGGGAGTACTACGTAATTAAAATATAATTCAAATATATATGGGATTGAGTATGTTCGATCATTATTTCATCCAGATCTTCAGATCATGAGTAATTTTGAAATTATATTCAAAAAATGGAGATATAGAATTCAACTTGATCAATTATCACATCTTGTGGAGTACGTGTTTGAATCATACACTCCATGAAAAAAGGTGTAAAACGAAGCAATAAGTTAGCTTCGAGATTCTGAGACCATGATGATGATGATCGATCAGTGTACACGTAAAAGTCCTCAAACTTTGCATCTTTTGCTGTGTATATCGACATGATAAGAAACCCTACCCATCATTGGTTCTTAGACGACCATTCCCGCCTGGCCCCCATCATTCCATTCCCAGAAGTTTATACTCACCGACTATATACCATCTACCTAGCTAAGCTAGCTAGCTTGCCCGAACCAGCTAATTAACATCCAGCCAGGATAATTTATATCCATTTAATTCTAGCTACTTCTGCTAAGATTAGGATATGTATGAAAATAACAATTCAAGACTGTTACAATAAAATTATACTGTTGATATCTAATTTGTAAAGTAAAATAAATACTCGTATATAATCATTTAGAAGATGACATAAAAAAGGTTACTAAATGTGATACGTAGTATGAGATAGATAAACTTGTGAAATGGACAAAAATGAAGGATATCACAAAGATAATCGGTGAGTAGACTAAATGATACGGAGTACCAAAATATGCATAGTGAAGTTGACAAATAAACTACTCGTAATTATATACGGAGTATATGTTGGAATCGAACAAATGACTTTGTTTTTTACTCTTCAAAATTACTGTTTATTTATTAAATCTATGCATGCAAATACTTAACAATATTTATATACCGATTTGTCAACTTTATTTAGTTAAGTTTTTTTATTATCAAAACATTATTATTTCCCTTTAAGGAAATATATTAATTTTGATGTCGATCATTTCCCCTCTTAAACAAATAGAAAAAATTCCTCAAGTACAAGTTAAACTTACTTTCTCCGTTCATCTATCTTTAAGTGCCCTACTAATTAAGTATTTTGTGGGTTTTAACTTTTAACAATAAGTGAAAAAGAAAAAGAGGAGGAAAATAATTATAATGATATCATAGAAAGAGAAAGTAGTTTATAAGAAGTAAGAAAAATAAAGATAATAAAAGTATAAGTATTAAGGTATTTTATGAAAACACTTACTAAAAATGAAAATGTGAGAAATAATAATAATAAAATCTAAAAAAGGAATTGAATATGTGACGGTCAAATATAATAAGAATAGAGGGAGTGGGTAGAAAAATGTACAAATATGATTGTCATTATTTTTATTCTCTAAAATATAAGAGTGCTGAAGTATTTGTCTCACACCGAAAAACTGTAAAATAATAAAACATCCTCATATTGTGCAGCCCGAATTAGGTTCTGGTTGAGGAGACGTGATGAAATATTTGTCCCACACTGGAAAACTGTAAATCAAAAAGATATATAAAATAATAAAACACTATATATATATAATGGGTTGAGCTACTTCTCCTATCACAAACTTCATGCTCTTAATTAATCCAATAGAAAAGTTCCATTTTGCAAATAAAACAATCGGAGTAATTACTTTGGTTTGTACATGTGGTGTACGGTTTACTTCTATTTCACTCACTATT